AAAATAGATGGATAGAGGTTCGGTGGGGAGTTGAGGACCACATACTCGCACAGCTAAAAGAGCCAGCCCACGCAGGCAGGAGAAGAAGTATCGGGATGAAAGAGTGAAAGAGGTAAAAGACGCCAAAGAGTGGGAGGGGTGAGGAGGAAGACATATGTTCACACAATGTCCATGCTACGTTCGGAAGCGAGAGAGGAAGAGGGGGGTAAGCGAGTGAAGGAATGGGGGGGGGGGACTAAAGGGAAAGGGGGTGCGATGAAACCAACACATGTAAAAAAAAGACAAAGGGAAGGAGAAATGTGAGAGGCAGGAGATGGAGGGGAGGCGAGAAAGTCAGCATACCAGCTGTGGGAGTGAAAATGGGGGGAGAGAGAAAGAGAAGGAGGGAGGGATGGAGAGGGGAGTGCAGAGCTGCTGCAAGCCAGACAGACCGCATACTCATAACACATTATGGCTATTATTAGACAGAGAGGAGAGGTAGACCAATGGGGGCTTGCGGGAGGAACGGAAAGAGGAGGGAGGGGGAGAGGAGAGAATTGGAGGGGAGTGGGGGGGTAGTACCACTACCAAGCTTGAGGATGACGATAAATGCATGAATGCTTGTACGGCTCCATGCAAACTTCTATTCGATGGCGATTCTATAAAGGGGAAAAAAATGTTAAGGAATGAAAGGAAAGGAAAGGAAAAAAAGAGGTGAAGCAAGATTGGGGTTCAAGAAAGCAAACAAACTTGTAAGCAAACTAGAGGAGTAAAATATAGTAACAGACGGACGGGATAAAAAGGAGGGAGAGATCAGTGTGTTCTTTCGTGGCGAGCCAAAGCATGTCCACTTATGCCATTTCAGATTTGTTATGGATTCCTCACTTTTTCACTCCTTCCCTGCTCAGTCCTTCCACCTCATCCTTCGCTCCACTGACTTCAGCCCCACTCAGCAAGAGACTCCACAGCCTGCTGCTGCTGCCGCCAGTCTGTCTGTGTGTTTGTGAAGCTAAAAGTACAATTCTACATCCAACCCCCTTTTCCCCTCCATTGCCTCCCCCCATTTCGCTCCTCTTTCAGGAATCGACTGCTGTTCTTTGACTCCAGACCAATTCCACTGCTACCCTAATGCTTTGAATTCATTTGATTGAAAGTTCAGAGCAAAAGTAATAGGAGAAACGTATCCATGCAACAAAGCTGAATCTGTCTGAAAATCACTTTGACTGTCTTTTCAACATTGCATTAAATTCAGGACACATTTGTGTCAATTATACTTTTTAATTTTTTTTTTCACCAAAGTTGAAAGTCCGCCTCTGGAAATTGAAGAACATTCCCCAAATGCTCTGCTGAACATTCACCACCAAGAGATTTAATGCAATTAATTCATTTTTTTCAGACTCTGCGCTATAAATTATATATATATATTTATATATATGTAAATATAGAAATTACACTATTCACAGAGGATACTGTAGGTGAGATTTTGCCCCCCCATTTACTGAGTACTGTTATGGACCCATGCCTGTTAAATCGGGCTTAATTTTACCAATTATAAGTGAGCTTTACTCAAATCAACTTTTCCAAATGTCTACTAATCCGTTTTGTCTTTTGGGTGTTTCTGAGAAATCAAGAGCCATAGCCTTTAAGTGGAACTCCAGTGATTTTCTTGTTTTTGTCTAAGGTTTGATTTCAACTGAGTCTGAAGGGTTTTGTTTAGAGCTGTGGAACAACTGTGCCATCAAGTGGTCAAAGGAGTCCAAGCTGGTAAAAACGTTAGACCATCATGCAAAGTTTATCCTGTGAGCCGAGTCCTGCTCATGATGCTTATTATGAGAACTAGAAATGTCACACAAAGGAACAGTGTGAACAATTCAGGGGAATCTATTGGCAGAAATTAAATATAATATTAATAAGTGTATAATAACCGAAAAATATTAATTGTGTTTTTTCTGACCTTAAAACGAGCCGTTTATATCTACATATGGAGCAGCATCTTCACAGAGCCGGCTGTCATGTTTCTACAGTAAACCAGAACTAGACCTTCAAATGCTTATTACAATGTAAATGTCATGTAACGTTTTACAAGAGGGGACAGCAAATTAGGATTAATCAGTTGAATTGTGCCTGAAAAGCATGCCTTTTTTCCCCCACATGTGCTGTGTTTCCACATCCCATCCCCTCCAGAACGCTTTACCTCCACCTGTTTCCAACAGTAAACAGGTTTCCTCAGGTGTCTCCCCCACAGTCCAGGAGAAGAAGCAGGGTAAACGGGCCGCAGGTGTAGCCAGGAGCTCAGCGAGACAGAGGCAACAAAGCCCGATCTGTGGAGGAACATCAAGCGCCGGGTTGACCGTCAACACCGGCAGCTGATAGCGGTGAAAAACAGACTCTGACATCAGAGCCAACGCAGATAAGAGAGGGTGTGGATGGTTGTTTGTGCTGCTGCCATGTTGGATGGCAGGAAGATAGATCTGCCTCTGTTGTAGCCAATCGTGCAGGGAGGCTGCTATGGTATTATTCTGATCAAATAAACAACTTCATACTTATTTTAATAGTTGCCTTTCAAATTATTTTTGGTCAGAATATCCCTGCTGGGCATGCTAGCTTGCCAGAGACACTGTAGAATGTGTTTCCAATGATTTCCTCGCTTCAAAGTTTGTGTGACTTGTATTTAATTACACAGATTGAACGTCACAGCTTGATATAAAAGAAAAGTTTCACTGCTGCTTTTACTTTGAACCAGGCAGTAAGCAAGGTGGACATAAGCTAAATTCACTGAATTGGAATGAGAGATTCTCTCAAATTAGTTCATGAATGAATGCCACATAAACAGTATAAAATATGATTCATCTGCAGATAAGTCACAGGCATAGAAGACTGGTACCAACAGCAACCAAAAGGCATTCATAAACTCATTTAAGCTGCTGGTCCAACTGAGGCCCGAAAACACATCAACCCAATTATGATCTATCAGGAAATCTCATATTTCATTACTTGAACATAATTAAATGCTTTATAGTATAAAACTACAACTCCAGACATTAAGACAGATACAAGCCTTGCTTTGAATCATAATGTATCTGATCTTTGATATTCATTTGATGTTTGACTGATCCACAACACACAATTCAATGAACTACTTACACATTCTAAAAAGCGCATCTAATCCTTTCGCCTCTTTGAAAAACTCCAGTCTCTGAATATGCAAATGTGTTTCATTCCAAACGTTTAAACGCGAGATGTTTTGAAGTGAAAAGCCTCGTTTTAGTGGATGTGATGAGGAAGTTTCAAGTTTGCAAACTGCGTGAAGTTGGTGATGTCACAATTGGCTCGCTGGTGCAGAAAAACTCTTCCCCCCCTTTCGTCAAAAAATGTGAAAAACAGACCTCCAATGTATGCACATGCATTATCCTGCACAGTGACGGCCCAACATCCAAGTCGAGCAACAAATAGCAAAACACTTTGGGGTTTTTTTATGACGTAGTGGGGACTTTAAAATCACCTCATACAGAAACAAGCAGCGATGCACAGGCTCTGCTGCCCTCTAGTGTCTAACATACGAGCCTGCACTGTGACGTCGGATGCGATGACTGTCCCTGCAACAGACCTCTCTATACATGAAGCAGCAGATTGATTTCTGAAACAAGTCATGTCTGATGAGTACTGCTCTAGGACTCACCTCTTGACTTCAATAGACACGACGCAGAGCGGCTTTATTGTTTGATTATTTCTATAGATCGTCCCATGGGATGAGGAAACATCTTCTACCGTCTGACTCTGCACAGAACTGAGTTTACATACGCTTTTGTTGGAACTACTTTGTTGTCGCTACCTATAGAATACAAATCAGATGACAAATGCTAAGCAGGAAGAGCTCAGATGTACAGTGTTAGGGGTAAACAGATGGTGCTTTGAACTCCTCTCCCTCCTGACTTGCTGTTCTAAAGCAGCGTGCACAATTCTACAAAGACGATAAAAGGGGGCAAACAAATCGAAGACACAACGCTACTCAAATCAGTTTAACATGATCAAAAGTGCGAGAAAAACAACAGCTGCAGATACATGAACAATAGCCTATATATCACAGCCTGGGAATGGCACAGACAATATAATAAGCTTTATGAATATTGTATGTGCAGTAGTATAATCTGAGATTGATGACTGATAATATATCAGACACCCAAAACTACAAACGCAAGGACACGCTGATGGCACACTACTGGGCTGCAGGCACATCAGTAGCACACATATAACAGCTTTGCAGATTATTTATTATGCAGCAGATGAACCCACTAGACTGAGAAAGGCTGAGCAAGCAGCTTCAGCACCTAATAATCATTTATTATCAAACCTATCAAGTCAAGCGCCAAAAAAATCCTGGATCCTATCATTTCCCATGCTGCAGCTTTATAGTGTTTATTGTTGCAATGTGATATGACAAGAACTAAGATGTGAATGACGGCTAAATAAGTCGTACATTTTATAGAGAAATATAAATCTTTTAAGTGACATTACAAATTACATCCAAGATGTGATTTGTGTGTGAAGGTCACTGTAAGTTACTAAACTCTACAAGATATGCTTTTAGTCCCAAGTCACAGTTTACAGGGCTGAAATGGTACCGAGTGAACTCGTGATCATGATTTATTTAATGAATCGGTGCTTGTTGGTACCGTTTCCCATCCCTGCTTTTATTTTGATCTCACATGATATTATTTACGCACACCAAACTGTCATCGATAAGCCTGCAGTAGCTGTCTAGTGCATCTGCCATGAATACACACGGCAGGGTCACACAGCAGATCTGTTCTGCAATTAATATTCTGTTTTCTAAAACAAATATTAGCAAACCATCTGCTTCAGCAAGCAACAAATACATCACACATGGAATGGTTAACCATCATTTTGACAAAACAAGAATATCTATTGTAAGAATTATTGAAGAATATTCTGTATGTACTGTATAAACATATCTTCAAAATCGTAGACAATGCGTTAAAAGAAATCCCACAACACCAAACCCTGGTATACCAAGCAGATTGACTTTATTTGTATCTTCCATGTTAATTAATTGCCATCATCATCATCGCCAGGACCGCATCAGTTAACAGTGTTATTGCCACCAGCTCCATTACCTTCACTGTCATCATCCGCTCAAAATGAAATAATTACACTCTCTTAAATAGGCCAGTGACAACAGCTATAATCCGGTGTGATATTGACAATCTCGTTATCAGTTACATATTAATTAGCTTAGACATTTTTTGCTCGACGGTGCTTGAACGGAAAAGCCCATTCCTGGCTTTCCACGCGACTGTGCGTAAAGACAATAACGCGTTGTATGTGACATTATTGTTTGGAACTCCACAAGAGGCTGCATGTACATAACTACAATTGTGGTGACAGCTCGTTTGTTTTGACAGCTCACAGGTAATCCAGCAGCATTTAGATATTTAGCGGGAAAGAGAATGAGCATCCGGGAAATGTCGCGTGACGTGATCATCACCGGAACTGAGCGACCTATAGGGCTCACGGTTTTTACCATCTATGCCGCTTTTGATGGTTTTGCTGTCCAATGGAGATACTCAACAGTCAGGTGACACGGCACAAATTAAAGCAAAGAAAATAACTTGACCCCGATCATAGAATTAGTGCTGACCCAGACACTGCATATCAGAAGGCTAATTATACTGTTATTAATGTATTGCCTTAGACTCAGAAGAGTTCCTACTGACACATACAGTCATATATCAAGGATTATGTGACAGCACACAGCTGCTTGTGATTCCAGTGCAGAAACAAAAGGGCGGCGATGCATGTATCACACAGATACGAGGCTCAGTATAGCTACAACACAAGTGTTGCACAATGGAAAACTGCTACGTTTCATTATGTATAAAAGCGCAGCACTTAACGTGCCCGCGGCTGATACCGGACTGTGATCCCGGCTGCTGTTTTCAGTTCTGAGGAAGACTCGTCAATGCACACAAATATTCACATTAAAGTGTCTGAGGTCAGAAGTCAAAAGAACAACCTGAATTCTGCATTTGGTCAATTACAATAACTGTGAGTTACACACAGTCCATGGATCTATTTGTTACCTGATAGTTCGTAGTATCCACATTAGATTCAGTCAAGTGCTTCTGAAAATCAAAACTGGAAAATGCCACTGGAATTCATGTGATTTCACGTCAAACCAACACTAAACATGTTATTTGTACAGTGGTGACAAACTCGGTACGACTGCTCGACTCATCCCATGACCACAAGAGAAACAGTAACAGTATTGACAACAATACATCGGTCGTAATTGCTATAAGCATTATTATAAGATAGTCAGGTGATGATGTTGATGAAAAGGTGGGAAACGAGAGCAGAACTATATGTGCCCACTGAAATCAAAGAAAGCTGCATGTGGGCTCCTTTTTCATAATAGCGAATATTGATCGCGAACCAAACACCGTCCGCTGTGGTCCGTGTCATATAGGGCAACGCAGCCAGGTAATGAGTTCTGCAGGGAAAATGGAAGCTCAGTCACAAAATGCAAATCGCCTTTTCTCTAACAGTGCTGTCATTTTAACGCCTGAAGCTCCCGGTGCTCGTGGTTATAAAGTTCAGAAAGCTGCTTAGCGAACATCTACAAAGTCCAGTCACAAAGCAGGGACATCGGCAACATTGCTTTGCAGAAACATTCAGTCACATTGACAAAGAAAAGACAATATTGATCAGTGACGATAAATGCACAATCACATAGACCTGCACTGCTCTCTGGGGGGGGGGGGGGGGTTTACACTTTTGGGTTTGTTACCTCCATCAGTGATGTCATAGGAGGGCGCTTTTTGTTATCGGCTGCCAAAGAACAGATGACGTTAAACCATCAGTGACCAGTGCAGATGTGGAACGTGCTAAACCCCACAGAGAGGAGGACTGCAGCTGCTTTCTACCCCTGTTTGATTCACTGTTAAGTTTGCCCTCTAAATCCAGCACCACACACAGCTCTGCGCTGTCACGATCCGTAAGGCTTTGTCGCAACCGAGTGGACAAAAACACCAGCCTGCAAGGTTTAGCCACGCCACAACGTAGAAGACACATTCTGGGTGGATTTACGCGAGCTGCACCTGTGCATTCTGCCGACCTTGTGTTTTTGCTCCTCAGTAAACCCACCCCCTTTTGTCACCTTGTGTAAATGTGTGGACTAACCTGTCCCAGCTGCTACTGTCTACGTGCATGTGTGTACGCTCAGGCTTTATTATTATTTTGCTTTGGCATGATGGATGTTGTGTGTGTGAGACAGCTTGTGTTGACACAGGAATGCAGCATAAACTGAAATCCTGAGCAGAAAAGTTGGCAGCGTCGGACACAAAGGCAACATAGCAGGACAGCTCCATGCTTACAGTGCGTGTGTGTGTGTGTGTGCATGTTTGTGTTAAGACTCTGGATGTTAGGGGCTACTATGAGTATATGTCTAGTCTAAAATAAGCTGTTATAATGGCTGCTTTACTGCTGTGAATAAGCATGCAAGCGCGCATGAGTGTGTGTGTGTTTGTGTAAGACATCATGGGCACAAAAGTTCTCTTGGCACAGCTGAAGCGGCTGAGGACACACTTTTGACACACTGAGATAATAAAACACAGTTATAATTATCCAGTGACATCACATATGAGTGAAACACGCTCGTCTGTGTCGAAATAAATACATACACCAGACTTGCAAGCGAGTAAAATTGGGTCCAAGCGCCCTACGCAACTCAGAACCGGAGGCTCGCTGATCAAAGCTCATTGGGAAGCCAAGAGCATTGTTTTACAAAAATGAAAAAAAACTAAAATAAAAATAAAGAGCTACGACGTGAGAAATCTCTGAAGCTTACAAAGTCAAGTATGCAGATGATATAAAAGTAGCAAATAACAGACTGAATTTCTATTTCTATTTGGACAGAAATGTAAAAGCAATCAGATTTGAAATTGGAGCTCACTACATGTGATTTCAAATTCAAAGTGGCAGACCAAAACATACAGAGAACAAACGGTGGTTGACAATGTGTGAAAGCAACACAATCAAATGAACCCAGAAGTGTTGTCAGTGCGTTTTAGTGCTTCTTTTTGTGAAGGGACATTAATGTAGACGATTTGATCCACAAGTCCGAGATAACGATTAAATAGCTGTAAAAATAATTGTCATTTAAATCTCACATTTTCTTCCTTTTCGTCGGCTGTTTTAAGCAAGTCATGTTCCACTTCTCCAGTCGCATAGAAACACTTGTCCTTGTTGCTGTTCATCTTCTCCGTCAGCTGTTCTACCATTAATTATTCCGTCCATTCGTTAGCTCGTGCCCACTTCAGCTTGTCCCCCAAAGATAGCGAAGATCCGTGATCCAGAATCGGTGTGTGTGAGTGTGTGTGTGTGTGAGTGTCCCGTCCACCAAACCAGGTCAGCACTCATGCTCTACTTTATCCTGCCGTCTCTGCTGAATCCGGGTCGGATGTTGCCCGTCACGTTATCCATATCTGTGTGTGTACGTTTCATCAACATGTGGATCTCCTCATCATTTCTATTGCTCTATTTTTCCAGGAATCTCCTCACATAGGCGATTTCTACCCCGACCTCATTCAGTAAGTGTGCTTTTCAGTATCGTGTCCGAGGTGAAGCAGACACGAGGGGGAAGAGACCCCTTCCAACATTCCAACATGTGGCTGAAGTGGAGGGCGCTGTGCAGGAAAGGTTAGGAAAAGATCCGCTAACTACTGTAACTGCTTCGTGCTACTGTAGCAGGTTAAGTGTGCTTTGTAAAATATATGCACCGATGTCTAAGCAAATTGTCTCTCCCTGGACTGATCCTGCAGAGGTATTCCCTGTGGACTCTTGTCTACATGTGTCGAAATTATCTAAATCTGTGTCAATTGATCGTGGATCACCGCTTCTTTTTTTTTGGCACTGCATATTTGCTACACAGCTCCTGCACAACAGCTGTTATTAAAGTTACATGCTTCTCTACGCCGGCTAACTTTTACGCATTTAAAATGGCGAGGTGATGTTTCAGAGAGCACCGGTACTTATTTCTTCAAGAGGAGGAGGCAGCAGCATGGCACAATCACGGCCAGACGTATTCTACCACAGGGCCGATCGTTGGGATCATCCGCACAAAGCAATCTAAAGTCTGATTTCTTCTTGTGTCTTGCTTTTCTTTATTAGGAGGATGCCAGAGCCTAGCTTGCCTTCCCATGCAGTCCCATATTATGGACATAAATGAAATAACGAGGTGGTTTTTCATGCCTAAACACATACAGTATTATGATATATAGTATATTGATATTGGAGGGAGGAGGTTTACTGGTTATTCTGTTTTTTTTTCTTCGTATTGTGCAAGCCTATCTTTGGGTACAAATGTTTAAAACTAGAGCGCAACTACACAGGCATAACTGGAGGAAATCAGCTAAACATTTGACTCTCACTTTGTGTTGGCAACCTTTCCAAATCTTTACAAGGCCAATCCTGTCTCCATCTTTTGCTCCTATGTGCATCGGGTAAATAAATACAGTACACAAACACAGCGAGAGGTCATAGAAGTAACGTGGGAAATATCAGACGTATAAAATGTGATCCTGGAGGAGAAACCTCACGTCTAGAGGAGATGAGCTATGTGGAGTGAGCGGAGATGAAAACTGGTCCGAGGAGCAGAGAGAGAGGTGTATCACATAACCACCACTTTAAAAGGAGGAGAGGGAGGAGCGGATGAGAGAAGATGGCAGAGAGAATGGAGGAGGAAGAAGTTAATGACGGATGCGGTGAATCTATTTCGGTACAACGCCCTCTAACTCATAACACAAAATGTGCTAATTGCAAAAAAAAAAAAAAAAAAAGATGTTGCGTCTAAATAGTAGTGCTTTTAAAAAAGCAGAGTTACACCTCTGTGTCTTGTGGTTTTCAGTGCAGAGACAAGTGAGAGAGGGAGGAGAAGAACAGAGGAGGTGACAAAATGGAGGGAGGAGAGCAGACGGGAGCATCGGGAAAAGAGGAGCCTGAGAAGGAGAGGAAGCCCTTCATCTTACGGGGTTTTTTCTGTCAACTCCATATCAGTAATGGACAGAGAGTGGTGCGGAAGCTAATGGTGAAGTGAGGAGGAAGGCAGCATGAAGAGGAGGAAGGAAATCAATGAATATGCTTTTTCTGTTTTACGGTTATGGTTGCCGGCCGAACGCTGTGAGCAGTTGTATCGGAACTCTTCAAAGCCCTGAGAAACACCTCATTGGGACCCGTCTGAAAAAAAAGTTACGTTGGGAAACTATTGGAATGTTTTTTTGATTCCCTGATGAGATATAAGGTCAGGATTGCTGAGGGAGGGGGGGGGTTGTCTTTTTTATTGCTGCTCCTCTTGAGTTGATCTCGGTTTTGTTTTCGGCATGAATTCTCCGTCAGATGGAAGACAAGATTTAGTGTAATCTGGTCCGTCATGGGCAGTTTTGTATTCTACTTCTTCTCTTTGTCTGTTGTTTCTGTGCTCCAATATTTGGGGATTTTCCTCCTTTTATTTGTCTTTACCTTGCCAAAAGCATGTCTTTGTTTCTCTCGCTTTACTTTTCTACATTGCATTTTGTAATCCTTTGTGATCTGATCGGTTTCTTGAAATCCAATCTAGGAATTCTCCTTTCATCTATTTAATAATCCGTATGATTTGTCTTCCTCTATGTATTTGGATTTTTATCAAAACCAAAGCTTCGAGCATTCAAAATACAATCTTTTTTTGCCATTCCTCCACCTCTGTTTCTTTTGAAAAAAAATACCCACTACCACTCAGCTGGTTTGGAACATCTCCACTGCTCTCCAATCTGCTATCTTTAGACTTGTTACTCCTCCCACTCCTGCTCTTGCATAGATATATCTGGAAATAGACATTCCCGTGTTTTCAGTCTTTCCGTTCCTCCAAAGCATCCGATCGGCGCCCTCTCTCTCTCAGTCTCTGTGTACCAAAGTCTACAATTACAAGGATTTTCTTGACTTCGCTCACATTCTCAGACCCGTATTATCAATGTGTTTTTTTACATTATGCACTCCTGCCCTCTTTTCCCTTTGGACTACCATACGTCCATCCATCACCACCACTAAACTTTCCTTAGTAATCCTGTCCGTCACACAGCTGTTCTTACCTCCTATGCTTTCTTTTTTTTTATGCGTTCATCTTTCTGTGGTTGGTATGCCGTCAACAAACGCTTTTCTTTCAACCTCATTCTGTTCTCATCTCATTCATCACTCATTTCCATCGTATCTCATTTTCTCTCATCCGCTTCCTCTGTGATCCATCCTTTTCTTTGTCTTCTTTCATCTCCCTCAATCCTCTGCCCAGACCTTCGTGCTCTTCATGTTTGCTTTGCGGCTCGTCACATGTCATCTCCGGCGTGGCAGCTCTCCTCTCCGTGTATGATGAGGACGGGAAAGAAGAACGCGTCCTGGTAGGATGGAGGACGCTCCCTCCCTCCCCCGTCGCCCTCTCTCACCTCGCCACCCCCTCCACTGTCTTGGTCTGTTTCTTCATCCCCCTCTCTGCTCCCTCTTACCTGTTCCCTTCTCCTCACCTCCTCCTCCTGCTGCTGCTCCTCTTCCTCGTCGTCATCCCCTTCTCCCTCAAGCACTCCTCTTGTCTCCTCGTTGTCCTGTCTTGAACCTAAACCAAGAAATCCTCCACCTCCTCCTCCACTACCTCCCCCTCCTCCATCTTCCCTACTTCCTCCCAGCCCCCCTCCCATGCTTCTTGAATGAAACAGGTTGTTCTGGCGCCCTCCTCCAAGTCTCCCGAGAGAGAATCCACTCCGACTGAGCACCAACCTGCCCCCGATAGCCCCGCCTCCCTGCCCTGCTGCCCTGATGCCTGCCACGGTAGCGTTCAGGAGGGCTGTGGTTCCCATGGGGGCCCTTAGCCTGGAGGGAAGACTGGAACTCGACGTGGTCCTCCGGCATCGGGGGCAGCTCTGGAGGAGGTAAGCCGAGTTGAACACAACAGGCAGAGCAAGAGGAAGTGGGTTGGTCCCCTGGCTGGGGGTAGAGCTTGCTGGCCCAGAGATGGGCGTCGAGGCGGTGGGGTTTGTCCCCCCATTCATGTCCAAGTCCATAAGGAGGGCTTCAGAGTAGCTCGGGACCATCTGTTGGTTACAGCGAATGTGCCACTCCAATTCTGTCATGTCCACCGTGTTGACCCGAGAGATGGCTCTGTAACTCGTCCCATTTAGACCAATCCCAGGGTGGATTCCATTCTCAGTCCCAACCCCATCCTCCCTTCCCCCTCGACCTAGCCCTCCTCCACCATCCTCGTCCTCCCCGAACAGCTTCTCCACATGGTAGTGTACATACGCTATGCGGTATTCTGACACGACCCGCAGCGGCCACGACAGGAGGAAAGCAGAAGCCAGCCAGAACACCCTGTGCCGAGAAAACCAGGGCTGGTGAGCGGGATCTGGGAACGCCAGGATGTGTTCGCGGAAGTCCACGTTCTTCAGGTGCATGCCCTCCCTGGCCTCCATGTAGTCGTCAAGCCCCTCGTTCTCCCCGAAGAAGCGCGCTCGCTTGGAATAACAGAAAGAGAATGTGTAAATCAATTAGAAACGGAACAATTGATAGAGCGGGTCTTCCAAAGTCAAGGAGCACATCTTTAACTAACTAAAGTAGTTTGTGGGGTTACTGTTCATGTGCTTTTATTAACGGATTTGCCAGACCTGGTAAGAGAGAACAATGCTGTTTCTTCAATTCCATGCCTTCGAAATGAATCATCAGCTGGGGAGGAGGCTAACCTATTGCCTGCCATCAAGGTTTTTGAGTTCTCCAAAAAATAATAGGCTGTAAACATTAAAGTACTTATGTAGGTCATGTTTCAGTACTAAATTGAGACTGTTTCATAACCAGTTAAAAGTTCCTTACAGTAACTTTAAAAAGTCACCTGCTGGACACAACGTTTTCAACAAACCCATGGGACTAATGTTTTTTAATTACCTGGCTATCTACAGCTCAATCTTCCGGCGACGGTTGTAATTTCAAACGGAAAAAAAATCAGTGGTTGCTGGCTCAAAATAAGAAGCCTGCTTTTGTCTATCTCTGCCAAAAATCAAGGACTGATTGTTTCAAAAATGGGGAAAACGATCAATTAGAATATAACAGTTTGTAATCTGGAAACTTGGGTTGGGCATCTGTCCTAATTTTTTTTTTTTTACATTTTATAGATAAAAAGTTGAATTGATCAAATTGAACAGAATTAACTATTTATAGTCATTTTCTTATATTATATCTTACCTGGGTGAGGTAGGCAGCTTCTGCACGTGCACTTGAGAAGCTAAAGAGCACAAAAAAAAAAAAAAAAAAAAAAAAGAATTGTTACCAACATGTTTACCCCACCCCCGCCCCCATGTCTTTTGACCAGTGGTGGGCATCTAACCTGAAACACTTGGTGAAGCGGAGGCGAACAGCAGGGTGCCGCTGCAGGTCCAGCAGCTCCTTTGATACGTCTTTGACACCATAGCGGGCGTAGTCGAACTCTGAACTGGAGGCGTGTGTGTTCACCCGCTCATGGTAGACCTGAGGAGGGCATAGATGGGAGTGTGATGGAGGGGAAACGGGAGAGGAGGACAGATGGGATGTTAGAGAAAGAAAGAATCAAGTTATTGGGAAGACATTTGAACTTTTTAAGACATGTCATATACGTGTCATCATCAATAAAGCACGGTTACTTAATAGAATGGTATTTGTCTTGCTGCACACAGCTGTTTGCACACGGCCCCGCAATATTTCACTTGAAGAAATTAAGATTTGCATAGCATATTTTAAAAAATGTAGGGAATGAGAACTTATGTTCTGCAGTGCAACTATGAGCAACATGAAAAGAAACGAGCAAACAGGACAGAAAGTGGAAGGATGTATGTGGAGGAGAGTTCCCCTCACCTGTGTGGTCGTATATGCATCTCCGTTGCGGTATCTCGTCACCTGTCTGGTCCTCCTCACGTAGTGATAGCTGATAGCCTTCCACCAAATGCAGGGTGTGGCCTGCTGAAGTCTCTGCACACGCTCGTACACTTCCTGTGTCAAAGAATGAAGGAATGATTAAAAAAAATGAACTTAAATTCGATTTTCTGCCGATTGTAAAACATGTATGCTGTGGCCATTTTTTGTAAAGACTTTCTAAACAAACCTGTCAAAAACGAGGACTAACAATCTAAAATATAACGATGCAACATTGCCTGAGCAGTTCTTGCAATGGTGATACAAGCAGAACAATTAAGTTCCTATTATTATTATTATTATTATTATAACAGTATAGTCAAGTCCTTGCAATCTGGTGCAAGTCAGACCCTGCCAAGGTTTGTTTCGCATATGTGCCCCTGACAGTCTGGACTAATGTAGGACAATATTTTGGTTTTGGCAGCGGCACATAGCAAAGACAAAGAGTAATGTGCATTTGGAGCAATGTGCATCCTGGCATTCCTGATAACAGACACAGCAGGCTAGAATAGACTGACGCCCCAGGTCAGCTCATTTCTACATGAGCGGGCAAGTGTTATTTTAGGAAAGTAGGAAACAGAGTAAAACTGTTCTCTCTATTTGTGAAATGCTAAAATGTCTGATTAAACTGCATTAAAACTGTCTATGCAGACATTTAATACACCGTAATCATATTTATTTAACCTTTACATTTAAAAGCATTTTGCTGACACCATCATGCTGAACAAGCTTCAATGAGTAAACAGATTTCTCCTGTTTAGCTCAAGGTCAGAGACCCATTTCTAGACTTCTATTGCAGCAGTAGACTCCACAGTCTGTTGGGTGTTGGGTTAAGGCCTTTTCCCCAAGATATTACACCCCCTTGCTAAAACCGGTTTTCACACGGACCTGGAATTCAGCATGAGCCAACATCGCCGTCTTGGAGAAGCAGTGCCAACACTCCACCAGGTAAACCACGTACAGCATTGCCAGGAAGGCCAGGGGGATGTAGACGTAGCCGCTGGAGCACGGGCTCTCCAGGTGCAGGATGTCGTTGTAGTAGGCGGCGGAGGTGGCGTCGTCGTCGGCACCGAGAGGCACGGAGGAGGAGGAGCCGAGAACGGGCACGCGACAGAGAGCGCACCAGGCGAGCGTGGCGAAGCAGCCGTACATGAGGAGGGTCAGGAGGAGGCACTTCCAATGGGACTCCCGACACAGGGATGACGCCAGAGACTGCTGGACCGGCCGCTGCTGAGGAAACAGACGGAGAGGAGAGAATAGGTGTTAAGATGCTACTGACCGCACACTGAGGAAGCCATTCATAAATATATACACCGCTGGATGGATTGTTCAAGGTCCTAATGACTTAATTGGTCCCCTGACTTTCCCTCAAGCCTTTGGGTTTTAGTGAAATGTCCTGACAAATACTGGATGGATTGCTGTGACATTTGGTTCAATCACGTGCCTCACAGGATGAATCCTGATGACTTTGGTCTAGCTAAGTCAAAATATCAATTTGCCCAGTAATTAATATGAAACACTTGCAAAACTAATGACATTCCCATTGTCCTACTACTTGGCTAATTATGCTTTGTATTTAGTGCCTATTAAAAAATGTCAGCATGCTGACACGCTCCAAGATGGTAAACATTACACCTGCTTAACATTGTGATGCAGATGTTAACATTAAGCTCAAAGTATCACTGTGCCCAAGTACAACTTCAGAGCCGCACGCATGGCTGTAGACTTGTTTATTCTGCGTCTCTAAAATGATGCAAGTGCAACAGCAAGTACTCTGTTTGTACATTTACCGGTTAGCCTCAATTTGAATGGTACTTGTTGGGTTACTTGGGTACAGGTAATTACTATTTATTACTTTAAAATTAGTTTTAAGCTCCATGACTAAATGTAATTCAGAGTCACACCTTACTAATTATATCCTCGGGCTGTAAGAGATGTGTAACATCTGTGGCAAGCTGTTTGAAACACTAAAATAAGCCACAAACGTGGTAAAACCAGTCTGAGCTGTGCCGCTAGACGTGACAAATTTCTACTTCCTCATGTTGAAAATCAAGACGACAATAAATAATGCAGCATGCTTCACGGTGTGGACCTTTAATAATGTCTGACAGGTGAAGACGAGTGCAGCTATGGGGGTGATAGATAGTTTGTCATAGAGGCAACACAGATCTGGTATACCTGTTGGGACCCCCCCAGTGAGTTTTTAATCATCATAATCTTCCCGTTTGGTAAATAGTGTTGTACTTCAGAGCAAGCGTGTAAGCCGAGGTCTTGAACTAAGGAGTGCATCACACTAACCCTCACCCATCACAGGATAAGTGCTGCATATTACACACACACACACACACACACACACACACACACACACACACACACACTATGCCTCTCTCTAAGTGCACACTTTGACACAGCCTCATTTGCACTGTGAAGACATCGTATTACAGTGCACTCAAACATACACGTATGCATTAGATACACAGACATAGACGGTCTAATGTGGCCCTCTTCTTCTCTCTAACCGCGCACGCGGAATCTTTCCCCGTTGCTCGGCATTGTAATGCAGCCAGCGGAGAGCGTGTGAATAATTTAGATGAGAGCGATACTTCTAGACTGTTCTCCAGCTTACCGACTCCAGTCCAACATCGGCCGCGTAACACATGCCGCTTCAGTTTGTGTGCGTGACTGAGGGACGGATAGAGAGATCGAGGGGTTTATGTCAAAAGACAAGAAAGCTTGTGTGTTATGTATGTCGCATATCATACGAACATAAAAAGAGATGCGTTTTTGGTCGTGTTTATTTGCGTCTGTACTTGCATGTGTCCTCTCCATGCTGTTATACTCTGGCTCGCACTGAAGGCGACAAGGAAAAAGAGCAACAAAGCAGACGACAAAAAAAAGAAAGACGATGGGATGACACCAGTGTCCTCTCTCCTCCTCTCAGCCAAGTCTGCCTGTCCCGTCAGCACGTAGCTACCCCCCCCCCCCCCCCACCTTATCTCTCACTCCTCCAATGCAGCTGTAATTTGTTATCCACTAGCTTATTCGGCTGGCTGCGACACACACACCGACTTTCTTTCTTTTTACCACTGTACGTCAAGGGCAAGTAGGAAAAGGCAGCGTGAAGGGAGCCCCCACTCTGCGAACGCCCCCAAAAAACATCCAACTGCCAAAACATTGCCTTCTGTTTGCCTTTTATCTCCACATCCTCCTTCCTTTCCTTACGTAATCTTGTTTCTCCTTCCCCGAATCTTCCCTCCCACCTCCTAAGCATCCACTCCCCCAATCCCAACCTCGCCGTCTCCTCGTCTTTCGTCCTTGCGTCTGCTCCGTTACATCCTCTCTGAAAGTCTGTCTCTAAGTGGATTGATTGGGATGAAAGAGTAGTGCAGAGAGAGGGTGCGTGAGGAAGCGTGAGAGAGACGGAGAAGCGGTCATGAACTTTTCCTGAATTCACGTATGAATGGAGGCAAAGTGAGAGACTAAAGAGAAGGCAGCAGTGACAGACTGCACCTTTCTCCAAGGAACTCCACTGCCAAAATGTATCCTTCTCTTTCCTTTTCCTCTTACCTTGTGAAAATAAATGTTGCCAAAAAAGAGAAGATTTTCTTGCAATAACAAAAGAGTCTCTGCAGCTGGTGCGTGCCCAGCGATAGGGAAGGCAACCCCTTAGACAGGAGTCAAATTATTCCTGGATGCACTTATGCCAATCACTCTTTGCCAATACGAGCAGTTCTCTCTCTCTCTCTCTCGCACACAGGTAAAGAGCAGGCCTGACTAAAATGTTCCTGTCAGTGAACATACACTATAGAGACACCACGCACAGTAGAGTAAAGGAAAGTACAGGGTAAACTGTTATTCCTTAATGTTGTGTACGGGGAAACGTCAGCTCTCCGTCCATCGTCTACTCTAAATGATGCCGGCAGTTTACAGTAAGAAGACTTTTGCTAGATGAGAGAGACCAGAGGGGCCATTTTGATTATTGCACAGTAACTAATAGAAGGTCAAGTTCCACATCCAATAACAATGCACACATACATCATAATCAAATGGTTCAGTAAACAGCAGACTGAGCTGTTTTGTATGAGGGACTTCCAATTCATAGTAACCGCAAAGATGTAACATCTGTACACGTCACTTCGTGTGACTCACTGGGACAATATTAATGTAAGGCATAATTTTAAGTAGCGAGTGCAACAGCAATCCCTAAATTGGCAGCCCGCTCCAACTGAATGAATGTAAATGATAACGAGAGCGCAGAATTTCTATGAAGGAACTGACAAAGAAACTGCATTTACTGTGGATTAGTCATGACGTGGTGCGAGTATTCTCAATTAGCACACGACGGGTGAGGAAGTACTAGAGCCAGCGCCTGGTGGTTGTATGCCTCCGCAACCCAGTCAAGTAGCGGTTGATACCCACGTGTGTTCAAAATGTCATCGCGTCATCATTATCATCATGTTTTGTGTGGTCACAGTGACCTTTGACCACCAAAATCTTACCGGTTCATCCTCAAGTCCAGGTGGACGTTTGGGACAAATTTGAAGAGATTTGCTCCAGGTGTTCCTGAGATATCGCCTTCACGAAGGAGGGACAGACGTGACGGGACTGTGACCCTGACTTTTAATCACTAAAATCGAATTAGTCCAATCTTGAGTCCAAGTGGACGTTTGTGCCAAATTTGAAGAAACTCCCTCTAGCGTTCTTGAGACGGACAACCCTAAAATGCCTCCGTCTTGACACATTTTAAGTGAGTTTTGAAGCATCAACAGGGGGATCACAACCGCATCCCATTAGAAACAGTCTCTTGTCAAGGTTACCCGCTCGTGTCAGTTCCTGGCTCGTGTCTCCCTCACGCAGTAGTGACCAATCGATGGGGGCTGCACTTTGGGCTGAATAAGTACTTTCTAATGAAATCAACGCCCCTCCCGGTGCAAAACTCTGCAGCTTTTTTTTTTGGTTGTGTCATGATGAATTTGTGTTTCAGCTGCCTCCGTTGAGCTTCAGCTCTTGTGTCAGGCTGTAGGAGATCAAAGGGAAAGCTCACTCCCTGAAATCATTATGAAAAGGAATCTATACAGCCACGTCTGGAGGGTGTCGGCTTTCATTTTTGTCGTACTTGAAGTTTGCACTGCCCCTTTCTTGCGAGCTCTTTTGAAGAGGGTTTATACAGGGTGGTATTTACATGACAAATTCTTCATGAATGTTTCATTAATAACTTGCCTGCATTTGCATAAAACGCATCAGAATTTGACAAATTTGTGGCTGGATGCTACTCCTTAGCATCCACAGTCACTAGAGCCAGCCGTTTGAAGGAGAGCTCACATAGCTGGCATTTCTTTTGGACATGTAATCATGCACACCTCTGTTGTATTTAAAGAGGCATTTCAGAGCATTGCTTGGACTCCTGTGCATGCTGTAGTTCTTCGCTGCCTCTCCTGAAACTGCAATTGACAGAGCTCGGTCATTAATTCGGCCAGTAAATGTCTCTGAATTCAATCAATGTTCTATAATCTGGTCTTGTAGCATTCACCGTAATGTGGTGCTGTAACTGAACAACTCCGCACATATTTGGTTACTTGCTCTTTGAACACATCGCACTTAAATCTCTTACTATTTAATTCGACTTAGGAGTCAACATTATGCTTAAATAGTAGAAATAGCTCAGGCTACGTTTTGTCTAGAGTACTACTTATGTGAAGATGATCTTCCCACCCATCCTACCAACCTATAAGCACTATCTAATAGTGGTGTAAGGGACCATTGTCCATCTGTGATCCGTACGGATCCCCCCTCATTCAGTTTAACGTAAACCGTCACAATGTGCAATAAAGTTTTTTATCCGGCAATATTCAGTAAAAAAATGCGATCAGGACATCGGCATCTCTAGTCGCCGATCCCTGATGATGTTACATTGTAAACAACTAATCCGTGTTTAAACTGACATGAAGAGAACGAAGGTTCTGTTCAGTTACATCATGATGCGTTCAGGCTCTGTTCAGTGAAAATGAGTATTGGGCGAAGGTAAATTATAGTGCACCATGATGTGTTCAAATGTAATTTCGTCAAATGCAGTGTCAGTGAGAAACTTGAATAAATACAGTTGTTCATAGGAGATGTTTTCACAACAACATAAATAGATAACAGAGATGAAGTATGACCCTAAACTCTAAGCAGCTTATAATACATCATTAAAACTACTAATAGCAAGGTTTGTTTTAATCCATAAAATTACAATATTGTATTTGCTTATCATTTAAATTGTGTGTTTTTATGAAGGAAAAAACCCCACTATAGATGATTATAACAAGGTAAAAAGAACATTTAGAATATTTGATGGTTTAAACTGACTTCAGAGCAGTTGAAATGATTTTTTTTGGACAAACAATCTACAGCCTTGTAGACCAGCTGCTATAATAAAACAACAAAAGGGATCCGTATCTGCCAATATGGATCATCAATGATCGGATAATTAGTATTGGCGGCACAAAAACGTGATCAGGGATCTCTAAAAGTTAGACTTGCTTCCTTTTTTCTTTTGTGCTGGTCCGATCTGTGATCCGATCCGTGACTCTGATCCATGATCCGAGCTGTGAGTTTTATGATCCGTTGCACCTCGGCTTTCTAATACACGGAACAATGACATTGAGAATTCTACATGTGCGCACTGTGCAGAAACATTTTGAATGTGTTAAGGTGTCTCGTTGATCCTCCCCCTCTCCGTGTCTCTGCTCATACCGATTGAGCTGGTTAGGTGTGACTGGAGCAGCTATAATTAGAAACACTTGCATGTGGGTGGCAAATGAAGAAAGGAAGTGAGGGCAGGGAAATGTGCTGTTGATGCCTGCAGAACACCGTGAAAAATGATGCGTCATTTCAACACGATTGGAGAGCAATTTAGAAAGTCAGGATTCTGCTACCTATGCTACAACAACACTTAAAACCGGTGTGTCATTATACTCCCACTGTGTTAAAAACATTAGTGCTCCATTACAAATGATTTGTTCGAGTGTGTTCAATTGAGACCGATTATCCAGCAGCATCAATTATCAGCATGTAAGGTGTGCGTCACCTAAATGAAATATCATTGAAAGCAGCAGTCAGCTTTAATTCATGCCAGTAACTTCACCGTAGATGCCAAAGTGAACAGAAGTATCTCCTACTCTGCTGTTCATCAGGTTGATCAGTATTTTCCAAACTGTCGTTGGGTCTCATTCACCAACTGTTCTCAGAAGAAATATATTCTTAAAATGCATTTTGGCAGTTACTCTAGCTTTCTAGTTTGTGATTTGTGCTTAAAAAGGTAAAAGCTGAATATTTGAAATGCTTGTGCATATGAATTCTTGCGTTTTTCTAAAGTTATAAAATATAGGATTAAAATTTCAATATTTTTTTTATCTCATTTATAATATTTTTGTAATATTAAATGTATTTTACAAAGCATTATGGTCTTTATAAATAAATAAATAAACACTACAGTATCACTTATATTTACACACAATATTCAGACACAAGAAAAGCTAAAGATGCTCCAACTTCTTGTAAATTGGGACTTTATTACACGTCATGAATCTGACGTTGACTTTTCTTAGAATCTGTCTCAAGAACAAACTGAAGAATGAATTTAGATATTTGATATTTGATAATGCTTAGAAGATAATGGTGAATGAGGCCCATAGTTTTGCCAATGTATCATAAACAGTATGATAACAATGCAAAATAAAAACCAAGAGCATCTTAAGAGCTAAAATTAGGAGCTAAATTTAAGAATTACAAGAAAATAAACCATATCTCATACTGATGTCAGATGGTACTTTCATGTATCCATTTGACACGGCAGCAAAAGTGCAGTCTGCTAATTTACGAGTAGCAGGTGTGGATTAAGTTTCAATTTCAGAACATCTGTGAAGCAGAGTGACACATTTATTGCAACATTCAAGTGTTGCTATACTGAAGCTTAGCTTCAGTATAAATGAAGCCGTATACTCCATGACAGGCAAATGGAGGTGGGATGAGAATGGTGGGATAAAGTGAAAGGCATCAGTTAAACTCTACATGTTATGTGCCAGTCTCTTTAAATTACCAGTAACCTACTGGTTAATGCTTAATTATGTATGTGTTATTAGCCATTCCTGGGTAGGCCAGTCGTATATGTTATTTAAAAAAAAGTAAAAGTAAAGATTTAAAAAAAAAAAAAAAAACTCCTCTTAGTGGCAAGAGTCTGTTAAAGAAAATTTTCAGAAAAGTTTCATAGCCCGTGGGGTCACTCAAGCAAGATATTTAAAGCTCATTAGAGCTAAAAATATCGTCAAACAATCAATTCAATCAACAGAATGAATGGCTGCCAGAACAAAACGATTCGCTGGCTCCGCATTTTCCAATGTGAGGGTTTGCTGCTTCTTGCGGCTCAAGGCAATTGTAATGAAATGATAAATAGTCTGATAATACGACAATGAAAACAATAGTTGCAGCCCTGAAAGCTCACATTTAGAAGATGTTAAGGTGTGACCAGGTTCCTAGCCAACAGAACAGGTACCTGCAGCCAATCGCCACTGGTACCTGCATTGAAACACTCGCAAGATATTGGTCACTTCCCTCTTTGCAGTATAGCGCCATTCTCATCCCATCAGACCACATGCATACACGACTCTGCTCTTCCTCTGGTGGTATAGGTCGTCATCATCTTGAGTAGTGCAGCTTCGAACGGTGGTGAGAACACAGCCTGCCCACATCCTTAGTTATCCACGGTTATTTGGCGTAATGTTTTGTCAATTTCTCTTTTTTATTTTCATTATAAAAGATGACGTGTTTGAATAAATGATGCTGCGTCTTGGAGTAGTAGTAGAGGAGGTGGTGAATTGCTGAGTAAGAGAGGTCACGTACTGAAGCGTGTGTGTGAGCGGGGTGGAGGGGAAGCAAGGTGGTGTTTCAAACAGGGAGACAGATACATGGCGTCACACTATGTGTGAACAGGAAAATTTGAACAAGATGCCACTTCCCTGCATGTGTAAGGAAGGAGGTAGGAGATGGTATAGTCGAAGTTGGGGAGATGTGTATAAAGACAGCGATGTCTGCTTAGGTGGTCGGTATAGGATAATATCAGGAACACATACTGTTGAGTGGGTATATCCTATTATAAATAGGAAATCCCTGTAAACACTGGTGAAAACAAAATGAGCTTACTGCTCTGAGCTGTTATTCTGTGTTCTCACCATTCACATTGTGTCAGTGTTATTTTGGCTGAAAAGTGTCTGTGTGTGTGTGTGTGTGTGTGTGTGTGTGTGTGTGTGTGTGTGGCTAAACTGTGATGTCACCCTCTACTGCATTTCAGTGTCAGCTGCTAAATGAACACACTCTACATTACTAGAAAAACTAAACCTTCTCTCCCAGGAGAGACTATCAAAAGAACAATGTGGTTTGATTTTGGAACTCCCCTCCCCTCTGTTTACCTAAACCACAGCCTGGTCTCCATTCACAGCCAAGGTCCCGTCCCGTGTCCTTGCTCTTGTGCAAGGCATGAAGGACTTCAGAGGATATAACGTGACTCCTTACGTTACCAGCAGATACACGTTTGTCAATGAACGAGCAGGAGTCGACATTGCCTGGAGTAGGACATTAATGATGGATAAGTCACGGGTTGTTTGGGAACGACCAGCACTGATGTAAAAAATAAATAAATAGATAGAAGGTGGTTCTTGAAGGGGCAAAATATGCGCAACTTTAAGCTAAGTGGACTCTTTGTATCCACGCATTAACAACTGTGCAGAAAAGGAACCAGGAGGAGAAAAAAACACAAATGTCCTTACCTGCTCTCGTCCTGACCCTTCCTCCAAAATGGGCTCTTCTGCGGTGGCCGTCTCCTCCTCCGTCTGCATTTTCCCCTCTTGCCACTCCTTCCTTCCTTAGAACCGGGCACAGGCAGCTCCCACCCGGGTAACGTCCGAAGGCTGGGACCTCCCCGGCGGAGCAGCGAGCTCGGTCACCCCATCCGCCGCAAGTCGGTAACCAATTTCACGATGGCGGGGCCTGCAGCAAATGAGCATCATCTAATCCAGTTTTTTTTACGGTAACCCCCCTCCTGCTTTCTTCCCCAGCGTCTTCTCCGGCCGAGCCGCTCAGTGTTTCCCGTCCACCCGCGCCATCCTTCCTCTCCGGTCACGGTAAAAATGTGACTAAGCAATCCGAAGTCAAAGCCTCGTCGCCCTCCCCGTCCGAACCGTTTTCGCTGCCGCTGCCTCTCAATGATGCTCAGCTGCGAGTGTGCGTATGCGCACGTGTGCGCGCGTGACCGACAGCGCAGGGGGGAGCCAACCGGGGCCAAGCTGCAGCTACACGAACGGAGGAAGACGCTAATGAGCGCGGACCTGACGCGCGTGATATCAGGTTTGCGCGAGAGTCGTCGAGGTTCAAATACACGACATCGGAATACAAGGACGGCGAGGGTGACTGTCACTATTTAACTTTGTTTGGCCGTGGTTTGCACCTTGCATTGAGTCTCCGTTGACGTCATATACCAACATCCCCCACCCACCTCCCCATCTATACACCTGAGCACACGCACAGGCGCGAGTCTCCCCTGTGGAGATAGACGCACACTCAGGCACGCATCCAACTCCAACTGGTATTTATTGAGTCTGGTTTGATGTCTTGAAGGCACACACCAAATATGTTTTCACAAAAGCCGCAAATTCACAATTATTTCAGTGTTGTAATTGTTTTATTTGGAACAGAGAGATATCCATTAAACATTTTTTTTAAATTAATTTATTCATTTTTGTGCAGAGTTGAGTGCAGTCAATGATGATGGGATGACTGTTTGAATTATGGGAAATCTGATGGGATGTGTACCCTGTCGCTCACAGAGGAGTGGTGCAGTTAAGATGTCCTGAAACGTACAAACACAAACTGGTTCAGATTTTGTTATTGCTTTCTATCCACATGTGAAATTTCTACAGTACAAGATACTGACCCTCGCCTGCTGAAGGACTGGTCAGAAGGGTAACGGGTCGTCCGTGGGGATATGCGGCCCCCCCCGTCCAACTGGTGGGCTGAGAGGAGAAAGTTGACGGACCCTGGAGCCTTTCTTGTTGTGTGTACCGATGTGGTCCTGAAGCCAAATGTCGTATAACCTCTCAGGAAGGACGGGTGATATTGTTAAAGACCAACCTCGCTGTATGTTCCCGTTTATAGACCTGGCTGAGCAGGCTTGATGAGTCTCAAAACAACTGCACTTGGTCTTCAATTACACATTAATTAATTCACTGTTTCCTTCCGCTGAGGAAATGTAATTATCTCTATTATGTCACCAGTTGTTAACATGCCGGAGTCTTTAGCCACAGGTCATTCTTTAAATAAATAGTGGAGGATTTATTTTTAAAAAAATCTGAAAACAAGGCTGGAAAATGAGCCAGACCACATTGATATATGCTAACATTTGATTACTTGCTTCTCTAAACTAAGACTATATATCAAAATGTTTCTTCAAGGGTAAAACACTTCTTGATGAGCTTAAAGGATATTAGCAGTGACAGGCAGGTAGAGGATGTCTGTCTCGGTGCGGATGATGATGTCCTGGGAGACATTTGTCTTTGGCTCCGCCTCTCCTGCTTGGACCGTACACATGGCAAACAGCTGAACCTGCAGGTCAACATGCAAGCCTGCAGGCACCTGGACAGACATACAGCACACTGCGTATGTAGTTTTTCCAACACTTACGTGGGAGATGATAACTTCTCCTCACTGAATTTAAACATGCATTTAACTATTTCATCCAGCGGGGAACTTACAGGCCCAGGGTTGTAGATGACCCGGAGGCCTGTAGCAGGAGGAGGCTGTTTCACGAGGAACCTTGCAGCGAGAGAGAGATCGAAAACAAACCACCAATAGTTACAGCTCATAGTTTTGGACTTGAAGGTGACCCATAAATCGCCTGCACCCATCCACAGAACTCTTTTCTTTGTTTCCATTATTTCCTGGTTTCAAAGCCTACATTTGCCTGTGCATTTATGTATCCACACCTTCATCCGTCCACATTCTGGTGTCTTACCTGCAGGTGTCGACACCCACATTCTTCATCACCACAGAAATGGCAGAGGAGGTGCCCTCCTGCAGTGTGCCAAAGTCAACACGGGACGGGAGCAGCTGGAATCCCCTCGCTATGACACTGGGATCAGTCAGAGAAATAGTTCGACACTTCCTCCTCACCGGCTCTTCCACTGCCAGGAACTGGAATAGGCGATGCAGACGAAGTGATGAATGCATGTGCGAACAGAATGTGTGCGATAGAGTGGTAGAGAGAGAGAGAAGCATGTGTACGGGAAACCGTGTTTTTTAAAATTGTAGGATTACAGGATACAGTGGTATTTCACCACCTCTAGATGTCACTTTAGGACACTATTTAATAATCATAGATAACGTGTCAAACCAAGGAAAATGTTAACAGTATACAGAACTACCACCTTTAGACAGAAAGCTCAAATAGATCTAAGTTTTTAGATAATAGTATGATGTGAATGTTTGGCTACCTGCTGATTTGGTACGCTGCAAGGTTTAGAGCCGAGGATCGAGGTTGGTAGTCGGACTTTAGTCCTCCTGGGCTTTCCAGTCACATCCACCTGCACTGACTTACATTGCCCAGTTGAACCCCTCAGACTGCTTTCACCTGGCACAGACATACACACACAAAGACACCGTCATTCATCCATTCATGCCGTTGAAAGTGCTCAGCGGGCTTAACCTGCATAACAACCAACTTGGAAGTTAAATCAATGTGAATCACATACAGCCTCAAACGAGCCAGAAAAGTAGGTTTTCTTTAGTATCGTGGGTCTTTCCACCATGCCGCCCAGAAATGGGACAGGTTAATGTACTCACTTGCCTGATGGTGCTTTAAATAGAAACCAGACTATGCCCTCAAAATGTCCCTGCAATATTCAGATGTAGTTCCTGATTAGGGAACTCATTTTAATATAAAACGACAGAGGAAGGTGGGGAACAAACCGGCAGTCTGAGGCGTGGGGTTGGTCGGCCTTTTTTCAAGCATCCGGTCACTTCTTCCTGCATGGCTAAGAGCAAAACAACTGGAGATGTCAGGATGTGTTGCATGAGCAAATGTAAACATCATTTAGACAAGCCAAATCAAACAAATAAATAGTTCTTAGCATCCTCTTTATTACCTTGCCGATTGAGAGGGTGTTGGGTTTAAGGGTCGTGGGGCTGCAGTTGCAAACACAAACACGGTATATTATATAGTTTGCATGTTATTGAATCAACAGTTAGCGGTTTTTATGCACCCCTACAGTTGCTTTAAGAGTTCCTGTCCATTTGTCCCCAGGTTTGTCAGTATGGATTCCCAACAGGACGCCTTTAAAATGGAGTTTCCTTGACAATATAATAACTTACTTTTCTCTTGTGGAGCATCTTTCAGGAAAGCCTCAGTGCTGCCTGACTTGGGGAACGGAGGGAGATCCATGGATAAACTCCTCATGTCTGGCATTTGGTGCTCTCGCAGAGTCTGGAAAACAAGCAACAGTGCTGTGTCTCCTTCTGTACATTTTATATGTAATGTCAGAAATGGTGAATCAACGTGGGCTATAATGTTGTTTTTTTACAATGATGCTGACTAAATAATTTAAGAAAATGTATCTAAATATATGTATAGTAAATTGAAGAGACCACATACAGTACCTGGTATAATGGAACATTTTCTGGGTGGAAAAAAGGGACAACGGACTTCTTCCTCAGAGCCTCTCTATTAGCCTGCTCTTCACATTTCTCCTGTCTGAGGCACACAAATAAATGATAAGTTGACGGCTACTAGTGCAAATGTACATGTAGCCGTGGTAGTACCATCATTTCCCACTATTCTCCTTTATCCAAACCTTTTAGTCGGACTGCAGAAGCTGCTGTATTTTCACTCCAAATAATTCAAACGAGAATCACTGCATCCATACAAAGACATGACAGCGAAAAATCCATTTACACAATTAACTCACACCAATGTGAGTAACAAATGTGTAGGTTTTCGGTCAGGATGCAGGGAACACGTCCCCCTCAATATTTAATAGACATGCATTTGTAAATAAACTCCCCCCAACAAAAGACACAATAGAGAACAGAAGGGTAAATCATGCCTACACGTGTGCTGACTCAGCAGGGAGAAGTTGATCTACGCGAGAGTAAATATATGAAAGCAATACAGAATGCCTGAGAGCCTTACTGCATTATATTACCTCCCCCATCATGAATTATCACCTGTCGCCTGAATTCTGTATATTCCTTTACATAAATTGGTGCATAAAAATTCACCAGATTGCAGGAAATTAAGTGTTTGACGCTCAAAAGGGAGGACCCCCAGAGCCCCCCCTTTAATGTATGTCCCCATCGCTACTAAAAACAAACCCTACACCCTTGCTAGTGAGTATAACTCATCAAACACTTAGTTCAAATGTTATCTTGGTGCAATAAAAGGCATCAGTAAAACTAATTGTCGCTACTTATGAAGGTACTTAATGTCAAGAGGAGACGTTTGGTCTTCACACACAATCACAAAACGGTGCGAGAACCTACGTATATTTACCTGTGCTGTGTCAGCCTTTCAGTCCACTTTGACTCCTTTCCATTAGTACAACTGGATAAGAGAATAGTGTATTATACAAATACATGACAGTGTTTAGAGAGCGTTAACATCATCTGTTCATGCATGCCATTTTAATCTCCCAACCTGTCACTCGCTGCTCTGGCTGTGTCTTCTGAAACATCCGACTGCTCAATTGGGTCTCCAACTCCTTGGCTGTACAGATTGGCTAAGTCCACTGTGGATGCATACAGAAGGAATTGGAAGAGATTCACTTTAGGCGAAGTGTTCTGAGCCCGTAACACAAAACCAAAACTAAAATGACATGAACTACTGTGCTCAACTCTAACAACGAAATACTTAACTTTAAACCTCCACTATTATCTTCATTCAGTAAAACAGAAATCAACCAATTCATTGCATGTTAATTGAGTATCTGATACGTCATCCAGCCCTCCAACACACCATTATTTATTTCCACAAAAAGTGACTGGAAACATTCCCACAAACTGATTCAATTTGAATTTTTTCACTAATTAAAAACAATCACAACTAGGTAGATATGCTTAATTAGTTAAAATTAAATAAAGGAAACCAGGGAACTGCAAATGGAACTTTAATTTCAGTAGACTCGTAACTGGACACATTGTTCAAACACAGCCTACAAAACTACAAAAAGCAGTCACCCACCTGAAGTCCTCCAGTCAAAGATGTGACCTGCATCCTCTTCTTCAGCAAAAGACTTTAAAGTACAACATTAATAATTAACATTAATACTGTACACAATGATTGTATTTGTTATTTGTAGAGTTTTCTATTTCAGTATGCAGTGGGGAAAGCCCCTTCTATTAACATCTTCTTGCCTGTTGTACGATACCAGTCAAAGTAAAGGCATCTGGTAATATACCAATTGTGCATTATACTGTGTGTGTGTGTGTGTGTACTCACCAGGACCAGATTGAGCAGATCACTGGCATGAACAGTCTCCTCCTCAGTGCGAGGGTCTTTGAATTCCATCTCCTCTGATCGCTGCTCCCTCACCATCAAACTCTCAATGTATTCCTGCAATCAAATCAAAAGGCAACTTTCAACATTTGTCAATATCCTGCAAAATGTGATGTCATGCTCAAAAGCAGACTACACGACACAAGCGACACAACTTTCACAGCAGAAGTATCGCAACATGTTTCAGGGCCAACAATCACATTACCGCAACAATTGAGGTCTCGTTACATGTCGTGCTGGTTTTAAATACGGGCTGCTTCAGTATTTAAAAAACAGAGCTGTAATACGTGGGTTTGTTTTTACCTTCAGTCGTGTGTCGACAGTATTTTTGAGTGGAGCGGTGAATGGTCGGTGCTGGTACAGTTCCCTCACCTCCAGGACTTTAGGGCAGCTTCTGAGAGGTTGCCGCTGTGCTGCAGAACCAGCGGACCCATCTCTCAGAGTCAAACCTCGTCCCATGTCAGCACCAAACGGAGGACCTGGGCTCTTCTTCTGGAATAGAGAGAAAGTGCAGAGGGTAGAAAAACGTCAGCGTTTGGCCCCGAGTGTACTTGTACGACATGTGTATTTGTTCACACCTGTACCTCTATTCTAGGGAAGTCATGCCAGCTGCGGTTTCTGAGGTTGGGCGGGGTAATGTCAGGGTTCTGTTTCCCTAGCAGCCACTGGGACCACACGCTCTGGTGGCTGGGCTTCAACATGGTGATGCCAAACTCATCTGAAACAGTCAAAAATGTCACATAGAGATTCAGATGGCTTTCCCTGCCTTTGCTCCTCCTTTGAAAGACATTTGAGAGAGAACAATGCGCTCAAATGGAACATTGTTAGTTGAAATATGGCTAGATCAAATAATAAAACTGTTGCAATTATTATTATTATTGGTTGAGTGTTAGTTTTCTTGATTTGGGAGATAATCAACAGTGCACCTTGTGCGTCTGGCAGTGGTTCCTTCAGCAGGGCTATGGTTGGGTCAGAATAGGCCTGGTAAAGCAGTTCCTCTACAGTTTGAGAGCTCAGTAGTTCAGTACCTGAGCCATCCTCATGCACCACAAACAGCCTGGAACACAAGATGATGTTTACAGGGCTGCTGCGACGTTGCCAGCTAAAAACGCCATGCAAAGTTCATGTTTAAATATTGTCTCAAAACTGCTGACTTTGTATTCATGCAAAACACATTCTATTTTGTACATACAGCAACTATAAGAGAGAAATAAAAAGTGGAATAATGGATAGAGGCCCACCTGGGAGAATGTTCTCTGTGTTTTACATTAATCTTGACCATTTCTCTGTCCTCCTCCTCTGGCTGCTCCTCATCCTGTTTAAGAGTGCTCGGAGCAGGGCTACAGTTCAACACAGATAACTGTCCATCTTCCATCACCTGTGACACACACACACACACACACACGTCTCTATGAGGCCTTGCTTCTCTGAGACTATGAAGGACTGTCTCTTTAAATTCTCGATGTTTCTCAGTGCTCGCCACAAACACGTAAAACACCAACCCTTCTTATAATTCAAACCTGGAAGTGGTTGCCATCGGGGTCTGTAACGTCACAGGCCACTATGTCTGCATGACTCATGGTGTAGCTTCCTGGTCGGTTTGTGGGAGTGCAACCTTTTGGACTTGGGGTTACAAGTGGGTCAGACGAGTACACACACTTGCCATCACTTTCGATATGTAGGAGCCCCGCACTGGATGGAAACACCTTGGATGCACAGGGATACACACACACACATTTGTATTAATCTACACATTACTTAAAAAACTGACTTTTGCTGTGAACCACCCACCTGATAGGCTCCTTGGTTGTTCCCACTGACGACAGTTCCATCAGCTAAAAGGACGTGAGCCGTGTGTCGCTCTGGGTACATCACCACTGTGGGGAAGCCGTCGCTCTCCACCAACACCACTCGCTCCTTGGTAGATGTGCTTGCACATGGACTCCTCTCAGCATTCTCAGCCACAGTTTCTCCTGCAAACACGCTCTCCTCACCATTCTCACCGCTTTCTCTTTCATCGCACACATGCTCACACTCACGGAACTCTGCACGAGCGTGTCCAGCACCCTCGTTGTCACGCGCTTTCCCTGCGCTGTCCCCGCTAATCTCCTCTCCACTGTCACAAGTATGCCGGAAGTGCACGGCCTCGTTCTTGCTGTCCGCACAGCGCGTGACACACACACACTCAGTGCAGCCGCACGCACATTCAGAAGTTGATTTAAGGGTCACACTCTCAGGCTGCTCCCCTGGAAAGTTAACAGACACACAGGTCAGATCAAATAATTCAATTCAATTTAAAGATTAAGATGTTTGCACTACATTACTACATGTTCAGATAGGACTGTCTGATTGCTGTATGTGCATGGGAGCCAAGTATTTAATGTGTATGCACTGTATGCTGGTCACCTGTGTGAAGCAGTATATGTTGCGGTGTGCTTGGTGGTCTGTCTTTGCAGAGACTGGTGATCCTGGTTCCGTCTGCATGTTCTACACTCAGAGATCCGTCTGTGTTCTGGACAGAAACCACCAGATCCTCTCGGCTCAGCATCACCTGACACAGCGACACATGCCAAGATAAAGCCGGCTGGTTAACTCCCAGCGATAACACGCACAATTTTTGAGACTCTATCACAAACCTATTGAAAAATATTGAAACGTTGACATCAAAATAACATTGTCAAATTCATTGTGAAACACCAAAAAACAACTTGAATAACACTACAGTGGAGACAACTGGTAACCCGTTGACTGTCAGGAGTAATACTGCGCTCTTACCTCATGGGTGATGGGGTCTGTAGTCTTGAAGACGAGAAGAGGCGTGGTGGGTATGTGTTTGTGTGTGGTCCCCACGGTGTGGATGCGAGCTCCAGATGGAGTCGTAGTTAACCAACACCCGCTCTGATTATCAGGCTCCTTCTCTAAGCTCTGCTCTGTTTAGACACAACATACAAAGACAGCAATGCTTACTTGTCCTCACAGCAGGGGGCTCATCGTGTTCATTAGATGGTGTTTTGTATTCGCTGGTGCTGCACTCTAACCTTTGCTGTTGTCCTCAGTTTCTTGAGAGGTGTTTTCCTCCTCAACCTCAGAGTCAGGAACCCACACCGGACCAGAATCCTGGCTGAAACTGACCGAGCCATCTGCAAACAGAACCTGCAGCACACGTGTGATTTTGTGTGCCATAAGAGTGAGTAAGAAGTCATTAACTTGCTGGAATCTGAGCCTTTATGTATGAACATGTGTGGACAGAATGTTTACCTCTGTGGACCCGTCTCTCATGTGTCGGATCACAGCTCCCTGGCATGTGACAATGCGGGACAGTTCCTTGGAGAGCGAAGGGTCCTGAAGCTGCCCTACAGCTCCCCTACCATGAAGAGGAAAGCCCTGTTTCACCAACATACCCTGCTCTTCTGAGGACACTCCTGGACACACAAACACACAGAACTTACGTAATAAATGTTTGAGAATGAGTCATACATGGGAATATAGCAGTTATGGAATACCATGCTCAAATATCAAAGAGGGCACATTCAAAGTCCTCTTCTGCCAAAGTGTGTGAGCAGGTAAATCTGTGAGTGTGGGAGATGTTATTCTCCCCTCACAGCAGCACATGAAGCTTTGTAAAACTGCACTCGGGAAGACACACATACACCTGTGGATGAGTGTGTACATATCTTCCTGCCAAAGTGGATCACTGACCTTGTGCATCTTCTCTTAGAAATTGCAGCAGCAGGCCATTAGGAACAGACAGGTTGAGACTGTTGAATGGACTTGATATCAATGCTGGCTGGCCTTCACACACCTTAGACTGCACACAATCCTACACAGAAAAATGAACATGTACATACTGTATGAGCAATGCACTAATAACAGTAATATAATCATCACAAGTATAAGATAAAACTACATCCCAATCCATACAACAAATGATGTGCAATAAAGTGGAATAACAGGAAAAAAGTATTGACTATTATTACTGAAATGTGTCTAATACTTGGTGGAGAAACCTTTGCTTGAGTATTCGTTTCCCCCGCTGCATTCTTTTGTGCATCCATGTCCGTATGTGGAACCTGGGACTCTGGAGGTCTGGTGAGGCTGGCTGGGGCCTCTGGGGCCAATAGCGCCGTTTCCTGGGGACCCACTAGAACATCCCAAAACAGAACCAAAGTAAAGATGCCTGCACTGTGAAGAAATGTAAATATTGTTTGATCCACACATAAGAAGAAGCATATTCAGAGAACTGAGATGGAACAGTGTATAAGCATATTCAACCTGTTTTCCAAATATAAGTAAAGATTGAAAGAATTAAAAACAAATTAAAATTCACAAAGGCTAAAATATTATGTGGTATGAATGCAAAACCTCTGTATTCTCCCGCGGGACCATAGAAACTGTATGAAAGGTGGATTCCATTGTCCAAAACTGCTGAGAGGGAGCCCTGCTTCACTCTTTTCATCTCCACAGGCTCCGACACTGAAACACACACACACACACACACACACACACACACACACACACACACACACACACACACACACACACACACACACACACACGGGTGTAACGATTCTCAGAATCCATGGTTCGGTTCATGTCTCAGGTTTTTTGGTGTTTTTCTGAGACGGAACCGTGAGGGAAGTCTCAGGTTATCTTTGTTTCTTCATTAGTTTTAAGTATTATCTATTTAATGACGTAAACATTTGCAAGAATGGATAAAAAGAATACTAAAATTACAAAACAGGCCCTCTGGGCACAGGGTGTTTGGGCTGGATAATATAGAGGAAATCAAATATCACAACATTTTTATATCCATATTCCAACAATACTGTAGGGTTGACTGTTGGTGCTTTCACAAAACATTTCACAATGAGATTTTAGATAATCATCTGTAATATGGATATAATGAATAAGTGGGTCGAGGCAAATAACATAGCAGGTAGAACAGTTACATCACTTTACTGTAATGCAACCTTTAACATCAGCAAAAAACAATAGATATCTAGTCTTACATCTCAATATTGATATTATATTAATATATTGGCCTGTTGCTTAATGTCTGTAGCATCGTTAACATTCAAATCTTCTCTTCTACCATTGGTTTCATTATCTTGGGGCTGAGGGAGAGGATTTGCCGGATCAACAACAACGTGATTGATGTGGGTGTAGAAATGGTGGCCATCCTTCTTCACCGCCACTTTCACTAGGCTGGAACCTGGAGTGACAACAGTACAGAATGCATGGGCTTATGTGGGGAAAAACCCCACTAGGCATCAGTGAGGAATAACTGAGGCACACTTTGCTTTTCATGCACAGTCTCACTTACAGTGACCGCCTTTCCCAATTACGCAGCACAGCAGATATATGCAGATTTTGATCATTTTCTACAACCGTATCTTTGTCTGAATTACCTTCAACATAGCTGACATTCTCCACAGTGATGTGTCCTCCGTCTGAAGGGAAAAGGTACTGGCAACGACCTGACACATGGATCAACCTTCCATCCATGCTGTAGCCTGTGAAACCCTTCATGTCGCACACAGACACACAAAGTGTGAGTATGATCATTTTTCAGCATCCCTCTTTGATTGGATGTGCAGGTATTAACTCCTACACGGACCTTTAGACACCCTAATTGGTGGTATTGGAAACTAAATACCGTCAGACAGAACTAAAACAAGAATAAAATGTATTAATGGTTTTGTGTGTATGCCCTCACATCGAAGGGCTCCTCTGTCGGATGCAGGTCTTTGTTTTCCTCCACAGGGAGTGCTGAGCTTGCGGCCGTCTCTGTTCTGCTCTTCTTGCCACAAGACAAAGTAGACTTCCCCCTTTGTTGCTTGCTTTTCGGTCTATTCTCCTTCTTTGATTTCTTGGCAATCTCCTCCTTTAGGTGCTCTTGCTCCAACTTCCAGGCCTGTAACATCATGCACACATTAATATACACACTGAACCATCGCTGGGTGTAGCTCCTGCACGAGGTCAGCTAAGATAAGCTACAGCCCCCACCCACCATCTAAGGATAAGTAGTTATAGATGATGGTTGGATGCAGCTCTTTAAATCCTGCTTAGGTACGAGATTCTGTAACTACTGATGAGGAATATCTCCACAGCTCTTTGAGGAAACTAAATCACCACGTAAGAGGGGGTCAGGTTTAATTTAGCCGTCTCAGCAGATTTCTGTAAAGGGTCTAAAGAGTTACTGCATTACTGCTGAAAGGCCAGAACAAAGCAAACCGTGAAGGCAAATGTTCATGTGTTCTACTGACTTTAAGAGAGCCTTTTTTGATGACTGGCTCCAGAATGTCCTCCTCTGCAGAATCCGTCGCCTTTTCTTCTAGTCCAGGAACAAAACAAACACTGTAACTGTATGGTGGGAAGTATAGTGACATTGATGAGAGATTTTTGTTGACAAGCTACCTTTTAGAGCCTCAGCAGGGCTGAGATCTCTGAGTTGCATTGCCTCTCTCTTTAATTCTTCCTCTTTAGTCCAATCTGAAATGGTATCTGCCACGTGCTCCAAATAATTCCTATCCGAAGATAACAATAACATTTGAAGTCTATGTAACATTCTACACATACACTATTCCATTAGTCAGATTATACGGTGTATATGCTAAGGACTGATGAAAAAAAAGTCTTATTTTGCTTTCTCATATATCAAAAAAGCAGATTACTATTCATGTCCTGTGAGAAGAAAACGCCGGAAAATGTGGACTTGCACTCTGACCTGAACTTGACATCCGTGTGAAGCCGGGCTACATCCCAGAACTCCTTGCACTGGCGATAAGGGCTCATTGGATTGTGACAAAAGATGTACAGGATGTTGTTATGACTTCCTCTGAAAGTGTCCAAGCAGCGGTATTCTTCTGAGGCTAACTGGAGTACCTGCAAATAAAATAAAATTGAATTTGTATGTGCAAAATTGAAAGTACATGAAAAATGCGAGGGGGTTTTCAATTCAACAAATTGCGTTTTTTGGGTGGAATAACATTGCCATGGTGTTTTAACCTTGAAAGACAAGATTAGACAGGTCACCTGTGGGAAGATGGAGGCACTGTGGTGTTCAGTGTAGTGCCAGTCAAACAGAGATCTCAGCCGACTGCTCTGAATGTCATGCAAGTCCAGCTGGCAACACGCCCTCCCTCTGATCTGCTAGAGAAAAATCAACATGCAACCTTATTAGGAGAAGAATCTGAACAAATGTTCATTATGTTTTTATTGGAGCACAAAGAAATGTGAGTAGTTACAGTAGTATGAACAAACAATACCTCTGTGAGATCTTCAGTGAGAAACATCGGCCCTACAGTTGAGAGAAGCAATCAAGTTTCTTAAGTCAGTTGCATTGTGTAATATACTATATGCGAGCCAAAGACAGTCAGAGTAATTTAATTAATCATGGTAGAAACAGACCTTTAGTCTGTAGGTTCTCACGCTGCTGTTTAGCGTAGAACAGTGGGTTGTCCCAGGGGATTATTGTGGGTGTCTGTTGCTGTGCTGGGTACAGTGGTCCCAGTGGTCCAGGAGCATTCTGCAGTACACCGTTTGGGTCCAGCCTGGTCAGGGGCATACTCTCAAACACACTCTGATGAATCAAACGCTCCACCTCCAGCCATGACACAATATCTGCAGGATTTCATAACATTATGATAATATAAAACTCTGACATAGAGCAACGAGTCCATTGACATCAGCCATGAAAATATTGAGTAGCTGCTCTCTGACCATCGGTGCAGTAGTGTTGCAGCTGCTGTTTGATTGCCATCCAGCAGGAGTTGCTGTCTCTCGGCCGAGCTACAGACTGGATCAGCTCCCACACTGGAGACCCCCTCATCATGGACAGCTCCACCTCTGCTGGATCAAAACCCTGGACCGCCTATGAGGGACACATGTACACACACACACACTCACACACACACACACACACACACACACACACACACACACACACACACACATTTCTAATAACAATAAGGTCAGAATGAGGCCGAGACTACATAAACTATACAGACTATTTGGAACCATAATGGCAAATTCCACATGGACAATATAAATTAATAATTTATACACAACAAATCTACTTGCATTGATATCCCTTAAGCGCATTGCCATCTCATCATGGTGTCTGATGACCAGAGGGTGCTCAGACTTCATCTGCGTCTCCTCTACTCCAAACTTCTCCTCTAGCTTCTAACAAAAAAAGAGAATAGATCAGAGACAAATGAGTGTGTCCGAACACTCCGGAGTCATTAAAGTGCACACACACATTACACACACCACACCTCCTTTTTGGAGACAAGACAGATGAGTGAAAGAAAGGAAAATATATCATACAACATAACTTGTCCTAGTAACAGCAGTTGTCTCAGTCAGAAGGTTTCAGTTTCTGTCATAATCCATCATTGTAAGTTTATTTTTATCTCTCCTGTCACATCTGTCAGATCACTTTTTATTAAACTCAAAGGGACACTTTTATGTCCTTATAATGTTGGTGCTGATATATTCAGCACTCATATTGGACTGTCAAATTTAACTTCACTTGGTAAAGTTGCTAACTAACCAACTAAAGCATTTGTAAAATGTAAATCAACTTCTATTGTCTCAGAGCACACAGTGAAACGTAACCTCTGCATTTATCCAATCCCAGTATTCGGAGCAGAGGGGGAGCCTTGCTCAACGGCACATATGCAGCGCCCAGGAGGCAAACTTAACACCTCTCCAGCTACCAGTCCATGCTCAATACTTGGTCTCTGTGGGGACCTGAACCGGCGACCCTCTGCTGACCAAGCCAAGTCTCCAAGGACTACTGCTGCCCTCTAGTGTTGTATAATAAAACGTAAAAAAAGCAAAGCAAAGACAGAGCCGACCCACTTCCTCTCACATGCTCGCTCCAAGTGCATGAAGGCGAGTACTACCCCCCCCCCCTGCAAGGCAAAACTTTGACCACTGAACTGAACTTAATTTTTAGTACATGTATTTTTTTGGGTCGCCTACCTGCATAGTTCCACTGTACCTTCTTGTGTTCTTCATTCTGTGTTGTTGTCAGCAGACTATTTAACATGTGGCTTCTCTCCGCGTTTGTGTGTACGAGAGGCAGGAAGCTTTGGAGCATGAAGCTGACCAGCTGATAGTCTAACCCGAGGTCGTTGTGAGGTTTGGCCTCAGCCACGCAGGACAGGGTGGACACAGACGGCTCTGTTGAAATCACCACCTAAACACACAAATCCACAGACGGGGGGGGGAAGATTGCTCATGTCACACACAGATAATGAGGGACCACCTTCAAACATTAAATCATGGTCTGACCACACACTGCACAACACACAGACCTGTTCCAGCATACAGTGCATGATCAGAGGCACAGAGCAGGCTTCGGGGGGAACCAGGTCCAGGAGGCTGCAATAGTAACGCATGTCCACATCTGTAGAGAGAGGAGGCTGCTGGGCCTCTGTCCACAAAGGAGAGAAGGGAGGTTTGTCATCCTAGTCGTGAATATCTAATAAAAAATAAAAAAAACACACACAAGCATGTGCTAAAGATACATGAAAAAAGAAGGTTATACCTTGGTCTGTTGGCCTTTGTTCCCACACTGGTTTCATTTTGGAGCGTGGAGTCAGGAGCGGAAGGGTCGGCACAACCTGGCACAAATACACAACAAAGTAATACTTTTTCCATCGATATCCAGCCACATAATTACTGTTCAATGGGTACCGTGGAGGTCCACTTTAAATTCCGCTGGTTGAGACGGCCAATAAAGGCATGATTCAAGTTAAAGAATCAGGCTCCAGAGAGGGCATGCTGTTTAATTGGTTTGTTTATTTGTGTCAGTGTGTGTGTGTTTACAGTACGTGTGTGTGTGGTGTGGTCTCTCGGATGCACAGGATCTCTCAGTTGACTACATTTTTTTTTATTTGTCCACAAGGGGGTGCTCAAGGACTCTGTAAAGGCCTTAACGCTGACCTTTTGAACACTGAAAATAACCAGCAGATTAATCGATAATGAAAATACACCTTATTTGCAGCCCTGTTGTTAAGTTTTACTGCATGCATGTATATGTGTACCTCTGCAGACTGTGGATCCAACCCAACAACAGTAGGTATACTGATGAGATTTATGTTGTTCAGGTAGTGCTGATGTTGCCTGCGCCAGTCCAGACAGTCATAGATGAGCTTGGCAACGCCCTCAAAGATTCGGCTCCCCATCTCCAGCTGGACACACAGATTAGGATTCATATTCAAAATCAAATCACAAAAAAAAAAAAATGTGAAACTGACTGATAAGCAAACACAAAGAGGGCAGAGACCTTGAGAAAGACGGACAGAGAGGGACCTTGAGAATGATCAAAAAAGGGAATAGCAGGCTTCATGACAATAGATCCACGAGACAAAACATCTGTCAACTCACCTCAGCCTCCTGTGTGTGGAGGGGAGGCCCAAGATCTGGGACGATGTAGCTGAGCTGAACTGCATCATGGAGCTTGGAGTTTGGTGGCCCGCTGTCCAAAATTGCTCTCAGACCTGACCAGAATAGATCCAACTTCATGGCCTGCTCAGCCTGCTCTACACTGCCATGAACCTCTGCTTCTGACACACACAAAGGAGAAGATACTGTAATGTTGATAACAACATATAAATAAAGTGTATGCCGGGGAGTTTGAGTACATGTAAAAGCTATTACATTGTTTTGATGGACCGCATACTGAGGCCCCTTTACCTGCATCCAGAGACAGAGAGGTCCTCCGACTCTGCCCATCGGCCTCACAGGGGTGTTGTTCCTGCTGCTGTCCGTCAGACGTTTGCGTGTGCTCAGAACACAGTTTAATGACATTGGCTACATGTACACCGATGGCATCAAGCGCCCCGATCAGCTGGGGCTGGTAGAAGCCCAGCAGCAAGATGTAGTGTTGAGGACCATCCTGTGGTTCGTCATCTGTGGCCCAGACGTACACAACACAACACACAGGGTGAGTTATTGCTCTCTCTCACACACGAACACACAATTTGAGTTTTTTTTACCAATGCACTTCGGTGGGTCAAAATCATCCCTGCGTTTGAGCTTGGTCTTCTCCTTAGAAGGTGGCACAGGTGAATGCAGAGTCTTTCCCTTTTTGTCAGAGACCTTGGCCCCTCCTTTGTTATTGCTGGCAGATTGACGACCGCTCTTTGACTTCTCCTCCTCAGCCTTAAACAGGTGTGGACAAAAAGGAATAAAATTGCACAAAAGCAAACCCTGATAAAATCAGATTAACCTCTCCTCTATTTAGCTCTGGGGGGGAAATCCGCTCCAGTTCAACACTGTCACTAAACGAACACAAAGAATCACATTTAATGAAGAATCACTGACCTGCTCGGCTCTCCTCCTCTGCTGATCATTGGCTTTGATGTGTAGCAGCTGGAACTTCAGTATTTTTGCCATCAAGTCACAAGCAATTTCCTCTCCTGCATCCAGCAGCACCTTAGCAGACTCTGTAACCTACACGAAGACACACAATGCACACGAAGGACAAAGGCTTTCGTATAGACAATCAGAGCAGACTGACACACAACGCATCAGAAACCCTCATTGACAAGCCTACCTCATAGAACGTGGGGATGTCATCGGGTCTTTTTGCTTTGGGATTCCCCAGTTCATTGATCTGTAACGAGGTCGGACAGGAGAACATTTTCATTTGAAAAAAATACAAGGTGTTAGAGTTGCACTAACAGCATTTTCGGTACCTCATTCAGTAGATCAGATGACTACAAATGATGTATTGAGTATTCATTCAATTAGCCATTCATTATATCGTCAATACAGTGAGAAGAGCGACCAAATACGATTATTATTTAATAAAATCTAAGAAACAGATAATTGTGGAATACTGAATATATAGTATGGAGATGTAGAGTGGAATTTGGAACTAATGATTGTAGAAGAAAATGTGACAATTTTAATTTATTTTCTGTTTAAACAAGAGCTCAAAGATGTGAAAGCTGCATAGACACACAACGGGTTAGACGTAACAATAATGTCAGGAAGTAAAGTGACATTTTTTTATCAACCTGACAAAATTACGTTCTTGTGGGAAGAAAAGAAAAGAAAAGGCAACAATGTAACTTCTTTACATTCTAATAGAATGTAAAGAAGTTACAGTGTATAGAATGATTCTATTGAAGTTATTCCTTTTTTAAATGTTTTAGACGAGTCACTAATCACTTTAAAATAGTGATTATAGCTGCTTACATTTGGTTACATTGCTATTTGCTGTCATTGAAAATAAAATGATTAAATAACAATGTATGTATAGGCTACTTGTATTGTTTAAAATAATGTCAGCAGGGAATGTTGGCCCTTGGGCATTTTCACATTATCAAATCTGGCCCTCTTTGAAAAAAGTTTGGACACCCCTGGGTTAGAGCGATAACAACATAATGACAGTGCCAAGTTCAGTTTATTTCATATGAATTAGTAAACTACATTAGTTTTCAGTTTAGTAACAAGTCAAGTACCGCAGTGACAGCATGTAGAGCTCAATACAGATACAGGAGACACTTTTAATAAAAAAAACTTGAACCAAACTCAGAATACCTTTGTAAGGGTGCTGTCATAGGTCAAAAGGTTGAAGAGTTTGCGTGTTGGTTTGTGTACAGCCAAAGACAGACCCTGGGTCAGTTCCTCATCCTCTGGACGTCCCCCAACCACCAAAGACACACAGGCCTGCCATGACTCCTAAACGGCGTTAAAAACCAGGATAATGATGAAATATACTAACACACGTTCACCATTCAAGTCAATAACCACAGGTGGCATCGATTTCCACCTAATAACTAACACTTCCGGTTCGGACTTCTTACCTTCACAATAAAAGCTCAATTGTTTACCATTTTCAATGCAATTTCTAATTATATATTATGGTAGTGACATTATAGACGGTACTAAAATTGTCTTAAAAAGCAGTTTGGAGGATATGCTACCCATTTTAAAACTTTATTCTCGCTAACGTTAACTGAAATGAAGATTAAACATAAAGTTACACCGAAGAAAGAAGTCAGCTAGATACCAAACCTCCTCAAACTGAGCTCTGGTGAGACCAGCCTCCCAGTTCTTGTTGAAAACAGTGGGCTTCTTGGCTGAGCCCCTTCTAGCTGCTTTTGGTGGCATTGACACTCAGTGACGACAGCCTACATCAAAAAGAACACACAGAACAGCGAAAATACTCTTAAAGTTATCCGAGCAAACACCAAATGAAGGAAGTTAAAACTACGTCTGGTGCTTGTGTTGCCCCTGGCAACCGCATCCACACCAGCGTCAAGTTTCCCAAAGTGACTTCCTGTAAACTTTCAAAACAAAAGCATTTCGCTTTAAATTGTCAAAAAAAGTAAAACACATTTAAATGATCTATAGTAAAATGATTTCACTTTTTCTTTTCTTTTTTTGGATACGGAATATCCCTCATCAACAATTGAATAATTTAGTTTAAATATAAATCCATTTTTGTAGGCAACATATTAAGTATTTATCTTTCTCCACTAGATGGCAGTGTAATCTCCGGTCTGTGTGAGACTGAAATTATCATGGGCCGAAATATTTATCCCCAAATAATAACAGTTTGCACATCATTTCACTATTTCACTATTTCATATAAATTGTAATTATTGTCTATCCATATCATAGTACACTGTGCAGCCATTCCATAAGGGAATAATCAATACATTGCAACCATTTGGAATCCAAAAATGAACCTTTTCTACTTGTTCCAGTCATTGAATGAATTGCACTTGAGACACAACACTTTGAATGACATTATGAAAGACAGTTGGTCTGATTTCGGTGCCAGAATAAGTGAAAAAAAAAAGACAGAAAACATCCTAAGAATGGCATTTTGGAACACATAGGCCTACACTTCGGTGCCATTTTATCTGCAGAATGAATGATAAAAGTGTTGATCCACAAGATGAGCCAAACAAGAAGAAGGAGGTTAAATCATGGCAACACCAAGAAGAAGAGCCTCTAATTCTACTTTGATATACTGTGTTAATCTTAAGTAGAAGTTAAATCAATTTTGAACCGTAATGATGCATGCATTATGACACTAGATTTAACCTTGACCAGGTTTTATTCAAAGAGAGGAACATTTTGAATGCTAATTAGGTGAATACTGAAGTGGAATGAATATAAAGAGCTACTGTATTAAATTAATGATAATGAAGAGAGAAGTGTGAAAGGGGTCGTGGCCACTTCACCACTCCCACACACTCTCACCACTCAGGCAACAATTAAATGAGTGACAACATATCTTACTTATCATAATTTGTATTTTCATTTATTAGGTTTGCAATTATAATTTAGTTATTGAAATGGAAAAGAAAACTGTGTTTGGGAAAGACTTTAATTTTACATTTTAATGGAAAAAGAAAAAAAAGAAAACCTGGTCAGTCACCCTAAAGCATTTCCTCTTTTACTTTCAGAGTCTCTTTGCAACCCAGCTGAAAGATTGACACCAGAGATGCACTCTAACATCAATCGTCAAACTAGCTGCTCATTTTATGTTCTCCTGAGGGGTTCGTCTTGGCACATACATTTACTACAGTAGTTACGTAATATATTCCATTTGTTTGATAGAAGCTTTTCTGGACTGTGCAGAGCTGTCTCAATGAGGTCTATTTGAGCAAGGAAAAACGCTCCAATTAAATATTTATGACTCAATACGATAAATACACTGGGCCTTTGTTGACAAAGACTCACTGGCACTGAATTCGTGTAATGCTTTTTGCTCTATTCATCAGAGCGTATCATAAAGAATTTCGTGCACAGCATCTCTGCATGTCATGATTTGATTTCCAATCAATCCCATTGGAGTCGTTTTATCAATACAAGGGGCCATTGTCATGACAGTGATTTCATCAAGGCAGCAAGCTACTTCCAGCAGCTCCCCATAAAAGGTCAAAAGTGAGACAACGCCCACTTGCAAGATGCCAGAGAGATCCACATTATTGGGTTGTTGTCAGCTCCAACCCTTCCAGAGGCAGCGCTCTACAAAGGTCAAACTATAAGCCAGATAAAAAACTGTAGTGACACTTAAATAACTCTCCGTGCACACTGCTGCAAATAGCATAGCAACATCTCAAAATATCCTTAGTTTTGTTTAGGAATACACTGCTGTTAAACATGTGTATCATGTGTCTGTTGTGGCTATTCTGTTTCATTTCTGTCGTGATAGTTTATTTAAGAACTCCATCCCCTTTCTACGTAGTTACTCTAAATAATGTGTCTTATTCAAGTTATTATAAGATATAGGACAGGAGAAAAAAAGTTTACAACTATTTATCCCAAGAGAAATGGCTGAATAATGATCAATCCAGGTGCTCATCCTCACATGGAAAACACATGAGTCACTAAGATAAAAAATAAAATGAGACACCAAATTCCTTGAAGGCACTGCCCGTACTTTACACAATGCAACTCCCAGGACCTCAAGGTATCTATGACCACTTGAGCAATCAATTCTGAATCATGTGCTCGCAAACAATTCAATGCTGGATATAGATGATGGGGAGTCGGACTTCTTTCAAATATAAAGATGATCAACAGTAAAGCATAAAACGCTGAAAGAACTGCAAAGGCCAAGAGGCTATGAGGAAAACACACTGAATGACCAGATGAAATATCTGTGCATTTAAATGCAAACCATTACATGAATATTAAATATTGAATACTAAATATGTATTAGTCCAATTTAACACCAGCACAAAGTACAGCCTCAGACTGAAAATGCCACACAACCAAGTCAACTCACAGACTATATTCATCTCAAAAACAAAAATGTAAATGACTGTTAAGATTCTTTTGTACTGCATTACACCACACATGTGTTTTTATTGTTCTGGTTATTCATGGCTTGGTACAGTATTGTGCTTTGCTAGAAGAGTATGCTAGCAGAGTAGGAACATACCCCGTCAGAAATTTGTTCAATAACAAAATAGCATGGACCAAGGCTCATGGAATTGCATCATGCTAGCTGCCTTAGCTGCCATGCTAATGTAAGCGTGCTAACATGCTATGCTATTATTACATGGTATTTAAGAAGTGTATTATGATAACAATCTGAAGCGTGTTAACATTAACAAAATGACCAAAAAGATATCTAAACCTGAATGAAATCCTACAATGTTTTCCGTTTGCCTGTGTTCCTGTTGGATTAAATTCAATACTTGATGCCTATAACGGAGAAGAATGAACTATTCCTACTGTATCAGACTGCCCTCAGTGCTAAGGTGTTTACTACCTCTGCTCGCTACTTGGCCATGCAAAGTGGATTTAAAATTCCACTCATCAACATTGCATGGTGCCAAGTCACACTGCAGCAGTGTTAGAATAAGAAAGATTTGAATTTCAATTCCAAGAAATCATGGGATGTAATGTCAGCAAAGAGCAAAGAGCAAGGTCATGTTTACTGGCCCCACCTTTTTAGGAGTTCAGCGTTCTCTGGATGTGTGTTTGTCAGAGTGGCTCGAGACCACTGGATAGTGACCATACCTGACAGGAAAATTACATTTGAATTTTGACTGTAATTACATAAAAATGTTGGCCTCCTTTTTTTCCCTGGTGTAATGTGGGGACATTTGGCCTACGGTCTCACAGGGCAGCAATAAACTGTCCAAAATCAGACCCTGTACATATATATATATATATATAGCTATATACACATATATATATATATAGCTATATACATATATATATATATATATA